ATAGGCCTATTTTAGATTTTCGTGCTAAGTTTCTGAATTTGTATTGTACCCCCACCTCCCCACTGCAGCAGAGAATGTTAGAGGCGGCCTAGTGGGGGGCTGGGACGTTGGGCACACCCCAGAGATAACGCAGCCACAGCTCCCCTCTCCCCATACCCCCTCAGTGGTGGCTTCGTAGGAAGCCATGGAGACGCATGCCAGCCCCTTCCTCCTGCTCACCCCACAGCCAGGGGCATATGTTGGAGGGGAGGCGTGGGAGACCAGAACGCCTCACTGCCCAGCAGAGATGAGAGAGCCCTCTTCTACATCAGTGGTGGTTGAGTGGGGAGCTGGCTTCTCCCAAGTGGCAGTGACGAGATTGGGCCTCTCTCGTCCTGCTGAGTGGCACCAGAGGCAGAAGCCAGCTGAAACAGAAGTTTATGCTGGAGACATTGACACCCTGCTCTGGAAACGTGATGGGACATCTGTAAGGATCTCCACAAGGATACAGTAAAACTCTACACCACCGCTAACCAACAGGACCGACTCACTTACGGGGCGCTCAAACCAGTGAAAACAGAATACACCTGCTTCTTGAGTCCCAGCACAATATGTATCAAGAAAGACCACCTGCTGAGCGAAAATCGAAACTAAAGAATTTCAGAAAGATTAGAATTCTATGGAGTGGGCTTACCTCCCACAAAGCAACCAAACCAAAAATCAATACCGGAAAGATGGCAGGCAGATTTCCAAATAGTTGGAAACTAAATGATGCCTTTCTGTATATTCCATGGATCAAAAAAGAAGTCTCGAAGTAATTAGAAAGATGTATTGAACTACATGAAAATGGAAAGAGTACGTACTGAATTTGTGAGACACAGGGAAAACAGTGCAGACAGAAAAATGTCTATCGTTGAACGCGTATGTTAGAAGAGAGGAAGGTCTCAGTTGATGGTCTGAGTTCCTACCACAAGAACCTGGAAAAAAGTGAGCAAAATAAAACCAAAGCAAGCAAACAGAAATCAATTAAGTTGAAAAAAAGTAAAGGAAATCCATGAAACAGAGGGCTGGCTGATTGCCAATAACCCAAGATGACACATCTGTAGAAAGAAGGACAAAAAAGAGAACAGACACCAACCGCTGTCTGTCAGGAGTAAAACGGGATTTCGCCAGAGACCGTGCTGACACCAGAAAGATCGAGAGGAAAACTGTAACTGTCGCAAACACCAGCTTAGGTGAAATGGACCAATTCCTCAAAAAGCACAAACTGCCTCAATTTACCCAATGAAATACATAACTGAATCAAGGAAATGAACTTAGAATTTAAATCTCCCCAAAAAGAAAGTTCCCATTCCTAGTGGTTTCACTGGAGAATTCTATCAAACATTTAAAAGAAAATTAACACTAAACTTATAAACTCTTACCTGGAAAATAGAGGTGAGAACACTTCCCACTTCATTTTATGAAGCTAGTATTACCCAGTGTGAAAACCAGACACAGAACACACACACACACACACACACACACACACACACACACACGGAACTGAAGATCAGTATTCCTCATGAACGAAAACGCAAAAAGACTTTTAATATTAACAACTGTAATTACACAGTATGTAAAAAGAATTATGTACCATGAATAATTTGTTGTTTTTTTTTCTGGAGATGCAAAGCTGGTACAATAATTTGAAAATCAGTCAAGATTAATCCACCATGTTAACAGGCTAAAGAAGAAAAAAAATCACACGATCGTACCAACTGATGCAGTAAAAGCATTTGATAATTCAACATTCATTCATGATGAAAACACCCAGAAAAATATTGTTAGAGGAGACATCCTCAATTTGATAAAGAGCATTGACAAAAATCCTACAGTTAACATAATATTTAATGGTGAAAAAATGAGTGTTTGCTCACAAGGTCAGAAAGAAGGCAAGGATGTCTGTTCTCACCATTCTTATTAAACATAATGCTGGAAGTTCTAGCAAGTGCGCTAAGAAGAGAAATGAAATTAAAGCCAGATATATTGGAAAGGAAGAAACAAAATTGATCCTTTTGTAGATGATGTGGTTGACTACATGTAAAATCCCAAGGAATCTACTAAAAAAAAAAAGGGAAAAGGAAAAAAGTCTTGTAGAACTAATAAATGAGTTCATCAGGGTCACAGGATACAACATAAATGTAAAAACAATCAACTGCATTTCTATATACTAATAAGTGCACCGAAATTAAAAATACAATAACATTTACAACTGCTCATAAAAAATGCTGATAGGTAAAAGTCTAACAGAAACGGGGAGAATCTGTATGCTGAAACTTGCAAGACCGTGAAGAAAGCACACAGAGAGCTGCCTGGGAGACACATCACATTTGTGGGTAAGAACACGGCATGGTCAGTAGTCTCATTGACAAGCAGCATCGCAATACTTCTCCCCAAATCGCTATGCAGGTGTAATGCAATTCCTATCGAAATCATAGCAAAAATTTGTTTAGATACAGAGTTATCAATAGACAACATTGCTCTAAAATTTATTTGGAATTGTGAATAAATTAGAAGAGTTAAAAACAATTTTTTAAGAGAGTTATTTATTTATTTTAGAGGGGGGGAGGGCAGAGGGAAACACAGAATCTCAAGCAGACTCCCTGCTGAGCTCAGAGCCCCACACCGGGCTCCATCTCATGACCCTGAGATCACGACCTGAGCCAAAACCAAGAGTCAGACACTTAAAAGACTGAGGCACCTAGGCATCCAAAACAATGTTTATAAAGAAGAATAATGTGGGAAGAATTCATCCGTTTAACTTAATGTCTTATTGTAAAGCTTCAGTAATCAAGACAGAGGTGAGTGGATAGATACGTAGATCATGGAACAGAGTAAAGAGCCCAGAAGCAGACTCTTACCAACAGGGTTGACGTCTATGGTCGTTCTGCAGGATGTTACCATTTAAGGGAACTGGGTAAAGGGCCCATGGGACCTGTCTGTAGCGTCCCTTACAATTGCCCATGAACCTGCAATGATCTTAAAATCAAAAGCTTAATTCAGAAATATTTTAAGGCAATGGTAGCAGATTATATACAGACATAATAAACAGACACGAGTGGATATCATTTATTTAGATTTTCAAATTGCCTCAGACAAGGCCAATATTAAACTTCATTGATTGAAGAAATTTCATGGTTGAAAGACCAAATTTGGAATCAGATTGTATTTTATTTTTAAAATAAAAAAAGTTAAAAATTAAAAAAATTAAAATTAAATTTTAAAATTTATTTTTAAAATTACAATTTAAAAAAAATTAAAATTAAAAAATTAAAAATTAAAACCCCTCACATAGGTGTTTGGTATATGTTGTATATTTCTCGGCTCCATTCACTGAAAACTGTAAATATTGACTAGCCCACCAGCAATGTGCTGTGTGCATATTTTAGGGTCTGGGGGTGGGGGTTGGTCTCTCATTTTGATTTTCCCCTCAAGTATGCAAGGACTTCTTGAGGAAAGACTTCATTCCAGGTTCAGGGCCAGGAAAAAAAAATTCTTTGGAACTCTGTATTAACATTCCACTAATGCCAATTTCATGTAACACATTCTCAGTCATTTGCATTATTATATTGTGATGATACAATAACCAACTGTTATGGGCAGTGTCTAAAACCTGCGTTGAGCTGTGAACGCAAATCCTGTCAATACTGGGGCCATCCATATCTTATGAGTAAGGTCAGAAGCTCTCAGGCTTGGAGCGCCCTTCAGACTATTAGTTAACACGTGAAAGAGAGTATCGCAGTTTGCCCATTATCACAAAAACAATTATGCTCGCATGCTTCAAGATTTGTTAATTGGATACAAAGTAGAAATGTGTGCTGAGCTCCATGCTTCCTGCCAGCATCCAACTGCCCTGTGAGCGTTTGCCCTTGGACATGTGTGGGAGATGCAGTTTCCTAGGTATGTGACTGGAGTCTCCCGCTGGGAAGGTCTGGACTTGAGTTTCAGTGGGAGAACCTTAGCTTTTTCTCCACATTGCCTGGTACAGGTGCCATTCAGGAGAACTTTCCAACGCACGATCCAAAAAGCATAAGCTCCAAAATATGATCTTGTGATAATGGAAGACTCATAAGCACAACCTTTAATGAAATGGACAGCACAGTGTTTTGCTGTATTTGGTCATAATATACCAAAACCTTTAAGTTCATTTCAGCAGATATTGATTGAATGTGGCCGATGGACAGGCGTTCTGTTGGCTGCTGCAGGGAGACGGAGTTGGACAATTTGTAGTCACTGTGCTCAAGGTACGGCAGGAATTTTACTGTGGGATCAGGTAGAAATGGCCATAAAAAACGAGACCATAACAAGAGCAAAGACAAGAAATGTTTTTAGAGAGAATCAGGTAGTCCAATCTGTGTGTGTGTGTGTGTGTGTGTGTGTGTGTGTGTGTGTCTGTCTGTGCTCTGCGTCTATGTGTTTAATTCACTATCATCTTTTCTTCTTTGCTTATTTTTAAGTACTGTCTGTACCCAACATGGGGCTCAAACTCATAACCGTGAGGTCAGGAGTCTCGTGCTCTACCGACTGAGCCAGGACCCCCATCATGTTTTCTTCATTTTAAACATTAACTGTTTAAATGATCCAAAAGGAATCTCTGAATAAAGAGACCACTGAATTTCTCCAACTGGAATCACGCCCTCTTCCCCAGGCATGGCAGCAACCCCCTGCCCGGTTTAGTGAGTTTTCTGGGAAGACGAAGGTCTTCGAGAATGAAGGGGGGGCTGCACGAATGCGAGTCACCACCATTTCCTCTTAAACTCACAGTTAGAGGAGGACTTGGAAAATTAGTACAGGAGAGGTGTCCCTTGTTTGATGTGCAGAAAGGAGCTTCAACCTGGGGTGTAAGATGAACTTTGAAGACCGGAAACACCTCTGGTGAATAATTGGAAACTTTCTCTGAGTCAGATTATTCTGCAAAGGAGATTATTTTTGTGGCCATATTTAAACATTAGTAACCACGCCGTTTTCTTTTATTACAGGTAATGTATGAAATCGTTGGAGCAATTGAAAAAAATAAAGACACCCTTTCACAGAATCTTCTATTTGTAATGAAAAGTAAGTTTTTTCCCCTATGGTTAAAATGCCACACACTCTTTCCCCATTTCTGAACACTCTCCTCTGCGATATGCCACCAGCGACAGGGGAATTGAAATATCTTTTACATTCTAAAGCCCGGAATAATAAAGAATGGATCTTGCCACAGTGTACATTGGCTACAATCTAATTTGGAGTCTAGTAGGAACCATAATTTAACTAAGCTTTTAGCAGATAGAAATATAAAATACCTTTACCACTCTACTGGTATGAATATAAAAAAGCTCTTTTGTGAAGACTAATGAAGATTAATACAGCTTCCAAAATTATTTAGGCCACAGCAGGGTGAATTTCATTACTGAAGTTGAAGTCTGGAGCATACCTCAGGGTGGTATTTATTCTCGTACTTTCTGTTATAAAGAATTAATACCCATGAAGTAGAGGAGGGGCACAAATTCATATGTGCACACACACATGCTTATCTGTATGTATCAACTGACAGCCTCTATCTAGTTAGTGAATCTCAGCCCTTTATGTACTTGTATCTATTTCTATACAACAGGGGACTAAGTATATACTACACTTCTATACAGTGCCCTTATATGTATCAATATGTATACTTCTGCCGACTCTAGTCATTCTTTCTCCATAGCCATTCTGTAGCCCTTGGTTCTCGTTTCCCTAACAACCTTTTCAGTGAATTAAAATGTATCATCCTTGATGCTTTAAGTTGCTAGCCATGAGCTGAGTCATTTATCTTTCCTGGAAAAAAGAAGCCCGTGATTGCCCTTCATGAGACAAATTGAGGGCTTTGAGCTGGAAATAATCACCGCTGGCTTGAGGACCGTATTTACCTTAAATCATGTGGTACGGATGCCATAGATCGTTTTTCAGGGGGACTTACTGAGCTCGTCTCTCAGAACTTATAGCGATTGAGTTCTCTTAAAACTGAGACTAGCGGAAGGAGTGTGGGGTTGGAATGATAGCATGTAGAAGAAAAGAATGGAAATAACTGACCCTGTTGATTATCACTGGAAATATCTTCCTTCTAGTTTCCAATTATTTGAGTTTCCATTGATAGTGTACTGCCATCTAAGTCATACCTTGTTTGAAGATCTAATATATAGCGTGGTTTTGAAGTTAGCACAATGCCTTTTTCTTTATTTTTGTATTTCAGGTGATGGAATATGTATTTAGAGAGAGAATGTGATAGTTAGTGATATTGTCTTCTCCTTACCTTAACAGAGTCCCTTTAAAGTCATTCTTTTGTGTATACTTGCTATTAAGTTCCAAGAGAACACAAGTGAGTCTTGTTTTGTTCTAAATTCTTTTGGCATCTGAGCAAGCAGACAAAATTTACAATAGATTCTTCCATGTTTATACAGGAGGTGGCAGGTGTTTTCTATAAAGGTCCAGAGAATAAACACTTCAGGCTTTGCAAGCCGTAAGGTCTCTGTTGCAACTTTTCAACTCTACTGTTACGATGACAGAGCAGGTCTAGACAATACAAATGGACATGCCTTTGCTCCAACGAAACTTTGTTTACAGAGACGGGCAGTGGGCAGATTTGGCTCACGGGCCATAGTTCCTCACCCATTCTATCATATAAGAAAAAGATGTATGGTTGTGATAGTATTTTATGAATTTGTGAAATTATTTGATGCGGTAAATCGTTGTTAAAAGCAAGTGTAATTTATAGATTTTTTTTTTAATTTTTGAGTACCTTGCTAGGTACTTTGTTTATAGTATCTGATTAAGTCTTCCTATTATCAAAAAGTTCCCAGCTGAGAAAGGTTGTAGGCTCTGTTATGGGATCGTGAGCCAGCTGGCCCAAGGGAGGCAGGTAGCTTAGAGACATAGCTCATGCAGAAATGCAGTGAGTGCTCTCACCTGTGCCTGAGATGTGACATAAAGTCTCAAGTCTATTGTCTCAGAGTGCCTCTGCACACTTGCTCATAAACTATTCATCTAAGTTCCCGTATCCTGGTGGACTGGCAGGAAAACACTGGATACAATGTTTACAGACCTCCTTCGGAGGACACTTCCCATTTCAACATCAACCTGAACTATTGATGTTGAAATGATTTCAAGTTGAAGTTACAAAATTCGTACCAAAAACTCCCATAAACCCTTTTCCCAATTCATTTTCCTCATTTCCCTTCTTTTATTCTGTCTTCTCCATCCCATTCACCCTGCCTTCCACTCCCCACCATCCTTCCCTGTGTGTGCAAGTGTGTGCATGCACGTGCGTACATACATGTGTGCATGTGTATGCGTGTGTGTGTGTGTGTGTGTGTGTGAGCATGACATGTGTGTTCTGAATCATTTGAGACCTAGCAAAGGCATCTTCGGTATATATCCTGAGCTAAAGGACATTATCTTACAAAACAACGGTCTGAGATTTGAACATTGACGCAGTGCCAACATCTAGACCCGAGCCCTATCCCTTGGCCGCTCACTTCAGCGATGGCTTCCATGATGGTTTCCCCCCAATTCAGGGTCAGTCGCTGCATTAACTGTCATTTCTCTTCAGTCTTCTTTAATTTGGGACATTCTCTCTGCTTATCTTTTTCTTTTTTTTTCTTCTTTTTTCTTTTTTTTATGATACTTACTTATGTATTTATTTTTTTATTGAAGTATAGTTGATATAAAAGGTTACATTATGTTCAGGTGTATACATTGATTTAACAATTCTATCCATTATTCAGTACCATGTTAAGCATAGTCCACCATCTGTCATCATAGAGGATTATTTCAGTATTGTGGACTATATTCCTTATGTTGTATTTTTCATCTGTGTAAATTATTTTATAGCTGGAAGTTTGTACCTCTTAATTCCCTTCACCTGTTTCATTCCTCCAATTCACCTCCTGTCTGGCAATTACCAGTTTTTTCTCTTTATTTAAGAATTTTTTTTTATATTTTTGTTTGCTTTTATATTCCACATATAAGTAAAATCATACGGTATTCTTTGCCTGCCTATTTCACTTAGCAAAATACCCTGAAGGTCTATCCATGTTGTCCTGAATGGCAAGGTTTCATGCTTTGTTGTAGCTGAATAATATTCCACATCTTCTTTATCCATTCATCTCTTGAGGGACACTTATGTTGCTTCCATATCTTGGCTGTTATAGGTAATGTAATAAACATAGAGGCACATACATCTTCAAGTCATTAATGTTTTAATTTTCTTTGGGTAAATACACAGCAGTGGAATTCTGATACTTCTCTTTTAACTTTTGAAGGATCGTCCCTACTGTTTTCCACAGTGGCTTCACAAATTTACACTCTCGTCAGAAGAGTACAAGTTCCTTTTTCTTCATATCCTCACCAACGCTTACTATTTCTTGTCTTTTTGGTACTAGACATCTGATTGCTGTGAGGTACTACCTCATGGTGGTTTTGATTTCCACTTCTCTGGTGATTAGGGGTGCTGAAAATCTTTTCATGTGTCTCTTGGCCATTAATATGTCTTCTTTTGGAAAAATGTCTTCTTAGGTCCTCCGCCCATTTGTTTATTTTTATTGTAATCCCAGTTTGTTCACATACAGTGTTATTAGTTTACAATGTAGTGATTCGACAATTCCATATATCACCCAGTGCTCAACAAGTGCACTCCCTCATCCCTATATAACCTATTTAATTTATTTAACCCGACCGCCATCTCCCTCCACTCTGGTAACCATCGGTTTGTTCTCTATAATGAAGAGCCTGTTTGTTGGTTTTTCTTTTTCCCCTTTGCTCATTTGTTTCTTTCTTTTTTTTTTAATTTAATTTTATTTTTTCAGTGTTCCAAGATTCATTGTTTATGCTCATTTGTTTCTTAAATTCCACATATGAGTGAAATCATATGATATTTGTTTTTCTCTGACTGACTTATTTCACTTTCTTTCATGACTGACATTTTTAAAACCTAAAGGCCAGTTACTTTGAAGACTGTCCCTCAATCTGGGCTTATTTGCTGTTGGCTCCCATTGGTGTCTGTGCACCCCTTCTGGGCAGAAACCCCACAGAGGAGCTCAAGGGTCTTCCACCCAACCCAGTCATAGGACGCACCGACTATTTGAAACACCATTGGTGACACAGCCATGCTAAGGTGACACCGTTTAGGTTTCTGTAATTGAAAGCTGCTGTTTTACTCTGTCACTTCATAAGGAAGATGAGGCAATCAATGTTCTCTTCCACATCAGACTTTCACCTGCTGGCTCACATACATGATAGATTCTTGCCCAAATCAGCAATTTCTCTGATGGTTGCAAAAATCACGATTTTCTACCCCCCATTTTCCCATCAACTGTGACATTCAAATGCAAGAACTACCCTTTCTCATTAATTAACTAATTAAATTATTAGTAGTATGGGCTCGTAGATTCTTATTAAATGACTCACAATCCATTACTTATCGTTATTTTGATACTAACGTTGTTCAAGATACGGCCAGTGAGCAGCCCTTCAAGCCAGCTCCTAGGTTTTTCTTCAGGTTCTCGTGATCTTGTTTAGCACCTCCTGATATTCCAGCCTTCCAGAATGTTCCACGATTATCAGCTCTGCCTCCAAATCAGCCCTGTGCCCAAGAGGCCTAGATTTATTTTAGAGAAGAATGGTATTAAGAAACACTGAGGTCTGGGGGCTTGACGAGCTCATTTCTAACTGGGTTGTCTTTGCTTTGAGGCCCCTTCAGAACGAGACAACTGAAGATACGTAGATAAAATATGGGTGTGTAGCTCTATATGAAAAATCATGAATTTATCCTGCTAGCCCTAAGTTGTATCCAACACCACAGGGCTCCATTTTGCCTTCCTGCGTTCCCCAATTGTTCTTCCCTTTTCTGACACTTCTGCCTAGTTTATCATGTAGTGACTTTCCTTTACATGCCTTGTCACTAAGCATGTTAGTCTGCGCAAGCAAAGTAATCTGGGCGTGGGAAAGGTAGAAAAATGGCTTTGCTGCTCAACAGAGCTAACTAGCTGACGGGTCCACAAGATCCTAAATGATGTGCACACGACTTTACATTCTAACCCTGTATCATCCTCAAACTAGGTATGTCATGGTCATTAGGTAGGAAAGGAAACTCAACTGTGAGGATTATGTAAATACAAATGTAGGTAACATGAGAAAGGTGTCTTATAGAGCTCTCACCGCTGTATGTGGTTTTCACTATACGATTCCAAATTTAATAGAATTTGTATAACCTCACATGTAAAAGACATTTGTATAACGTCACATGTAAAAGACATTGGCTTTTTATCTTTGCAGCTGAACTGTTTCCCCTAACAGCTGGTACAAGCAGATGAAACAGGGTCCTACAAATGTTTACATACACCAGGAGCTGGGTTAGACCCTGGGACATGTGTTTCTGGGGTGGGAAGCTGCTGGCAGAAACCACAGGTCTTCATGACTTGGCCAAGAGAATTGAAGCCCTGTAGACCCAAACAGGCAAGACTGGGTTCCCAAGGCTAGGAGAGTCACAAGTGCTACTCAGAAGGCCAAGGGCCAGTGCTGAGGTAGAGTACAGGGACACGGATTAGGACTCCTGGTCAGGACAGAGAAGGTCGGAATTCATTAAGTGGTAGGATTAATGGTGGGGAAAACAGAATAGAGGCAAAAAGAAAGATGACCTCTCACTTAGGTCTTGCACTGAGAATGTCTAGTGCTTACAGCCCTGGAATGAGGACTGTGTTTAAAGCTTGGGGACATAACGATTTGAATGCCACTCACAATATCGCTTTATTTCTTTCCTAGCTAGTGAAAATGTCGTGATACATCATTTGTTCCAGTCGAAACTGTCACAGACAGGATCCCTCGTGTCCTCCTATCCCTCTTTTAAGTTCAGAGGACAGAAATCCACCCTGCTCAGTAAGAAAACGGCAGCTTCTTCAATTATTGGAGAAAACAGGAACTATCTAGAACTCAGTAAGGTAGGAGTTCCTCTGATTCTTGTTTGGTTGTTCTTAAGTCTGCTTAGTACCTTTACTTTTTTTTTTTTCTTTTTTTAAAGGCAATTCTGAAAACCGATGGGAACAAATTGATATTTTAATTTCAAAAAGTAATGAAAAGGATCCTGGCAGAAGTATAACCTTAAGAGAGAGGGGACGGTAGAGGAGAGTGCAGTAGAGTGAAAATTCAATAGCAAATAGGACATTAGTGATTTTATTGGTTGTCTCTGCCACATCCTATTTGTGCCTTGTCTCGGTGACTGTCCTTTTGATGAATGGGAAGTAACTGCAGGGACAGTAGCTTTCCAGGGAATAAACTTTGCTACCTTATTCTGTCGACATTAATCACTTCAGAGGTTTTAGGTCTCTAAACAATAAATTGTAGTTTCTCTTATAGGCAGTGTGTATGTTTCTGGGGCTGGAAATATTTTTTCTGGATAGCATGTGGTTTTTAAGCTTACTTTTGTATTATACTAGTTTTAATGTGTACTTGTCCGACACAAGTGTGGTTATACTTAAAACATAAAGGTTCTATTTATAAAACAGAACTACAGATTCAGCGGAGTTGTCTCAAACCAATAGGAAATAGGTAGGAAATGTGTTAACGTTAAGGATTCAGTGCCTGATGGTAGCCTGGTTTGCTCTGTCTGCCACCAAAACTACGGAGATGAGAAATATGTTTGGGAAGGTATCCAGGACAATCAATTTTAGAAATTCACTTGTTGTAGCTTGTTGGAATGCATTTGAGCTTACCAATTAAAATAAAAGCATCATTAAAATCAGCTCTATTTTGGAAGAGTGGCAAGATGTAGATAACATATTAGAAATGAGTATGTGCACTCGTGTGTGTGTGTGTGTGTGTGTGTGTGTGTGTGTGTGTGTTTGTGTGTGTGTGTGTGTAGCCAATGGACCCTACAATTAGGGATCCTTTGATGGAGTCATTCCTGGACTGTCTGATCACGGGAATTCAATTTCACTGAATACAGAGTGGCATTTTTTTACATAAAAAAAGATAAAGAGTTACCCTTCATAAGGAAGATCTCTACTCCTGAGGGTTTCACTGAACCTCCTGGCCCTTCCTTTCTCCATCATCCTGGAAATCAAGAGCACAGAATCACCACACACCTCTAAACTGTAATTTTTAACCTTAATTATTAAACATTACCAGGCATAGAGGCCATTAGTCTTTTCCCTAAAGGACTGCAAAAGGAAGATAATTCACAGTGGTTCCTCCGCCCAGAAAGGGAAATTGAGTGTTCCATTTCCAGGGATGGAGATTTATTTATTACGATTATTCCATAAGTGTTTCATCCCTCCCTTCTGTGCATGCTGCCTTCATCCTTGCACATCCATGCCCGTGACCAGCAGGACGGGCAGGGTTTTCCCCACTCTAACCAAGCGTCGCACTTGGCTTGCTTCTGTAGAAAACCCGTTGATCTTGGACCAGTCGCCCCTTTCACGTTCCCTTGTCAGGATTGATCATTCCAGCTTGATGGTTCATGTCAGTGGAAGGAAATGAGCTGCTTCCACGCTAGCAACAATACCATATTGACAAGAAGGTTTCATCCGATGTTTTTCTCCTATCAGGACCTCTTTATTGTAATGTAAATGATTTTGGATCAATAGATATGTTGGTCTGAGTCTGTGTGATTTTGTGAACGGCAATACAGTACGTCTGTGGCTGGGGCTCCTTTTAACCCCTGGTGGGATTTAATTAATTACCTTCTGCCCTTTCTTTCTTTCCCCATTGGCCTCATTTCCACTGACTTCTTTTATCTCCATTATCCTTTAATCTCTACTATGTATGATTTTTTTTTCTTTTAAGAGCTGTATGCAATGACTTATGGAAGAAAACACAGAGTCTTGCCATTTTTCAGATAGGTAATCTACTACTCCTTTGAGCAGTTAAAAAAAAAAAAAAGAAGAGGAAGGGCAAGAAAAATAGAATGGGAAGAAATTGATTGTGGTCAACTTAAGGGAACAAACCAGTGATTGCTAGAACGTCAGGTTTTGTTAACACACACGACTATCTGTTTGCCGGGCAGGAAGCTACCACTTCTGGACAAACACGTGTGATGGTAACGCAAGGCACCAGCGTGCACTTGTTTGCTGCTGAACAAGAGTCAGCTCTTGGCCTCAGGACTCAGATGGGCCAGGACGCAGCTTCAGTGTACTTGAGAGGCTGGCAGCTGTAGTATTATTTAACAAGTAGCTGCCCATGTCCCCAGTTTAGAGTACCATCGCCGGGAATCCTTTGGTACTGAATGTTACAGTCTTCTGTAGATTTGTGCCGTCCTGTGAGTGAATTCACGTGGGTGGGAGGCTGACTTTTTTTCTTCTACGTGGACTTTAGGAAAATACTACGAAAATCACTGTGTTGTATGCTTAAAACAAGTGTCAACGATATTTCAATTAAAAATAAAGGACTACATACCTCAGTAAATAAATTGCTCTTTCTTTATTTCCTTTTATTTTCATGACAGTTATTAAAGAAGAAAGGAGCCTCTACATTTCTTCAGCGACTGGAACGGGGAGGTCCCGTCACCATTGCATCACAACTCAGGGTTAGTTGGTTTTGTGGTTTTCCAAAAGTGAGATTTTGATTTTATCAACTATAGAGGGTATATGTGTATTTTCCCCATTTTTGACCCATTGAGTACCCTCAGATAAAAGTAAGCACTCAACGTGCGTGCGCGCACACACACACACACACACACAGACTCACGCCACAGAGACTTCATAATAAAAGAGTTATGGATCAAAGATAAACATTTTTATTGAACAGTGTGGAGATTCCTCAAGAAATTAAAAATAGAACTTCCCTATGACCCTGCAATTGCACTACTGGGTATTTACCCCAAAGATACAGATGTAGTGAAAAGAAGGGCCATCTGTACCCCAATGTTTATAGCAGCAATAGTCACAGTTGCCAAACTGTGTAAAGAACCAAGATGCCCTTCAACGGACAAATGGATAAGGAAGATGTGGTCCATATACACTATGGAGTATGATGCCTCCATCAGAAAGGATGAATCCCCAACTTTTGTAGCAACATGGACGGGACTGGAAGAGATTATGCTGAGTGAAATAAGCAGAGAGATCAATTATTATATGGTTTCACTTATTTGTGGAGCATAACAAATAGCATGGAGGACATGGGTAGATGGAGAGGAGAAGGGAGTTGGGGGAAATTGGAAGGGGAGGTGAACCATGAGAGACTATGGACTCTGAAAAACAATCTGAAGGGTTTGAAGAGGTGGGGGGGTGGGAGGTTGGGGGAACCAGGTGGTGGGTATTGGAGAGGGCATGGATTGCATGGAGCACTGGGTGTGGTGCAAAAACAATGAATACTGTTATGCTGAAAATAAATTTAAAAAAATGATTTAAAAAAAGCATTTTTATTGAAAAGCCCTTTATATTTGCCGTCAGTGTGGTCTTTGGAGAATAAGCTGTGTTTTGCTTCTCTCCTTAGAAATCTCTAACGGATATTATCGGAAAACTTCAGAAGCGGACTCCACACTTTATTCATTGCATCAAGCCCAATAACTCAAGGCTGCCAGATACTTTTGACAATTTTTACGTGTCTGCTCAGCTACAATATATTGGGGTCCTGGACATGGTGAAGACCATCCGATATGGTTACCCTGTTCGCCTTTCCTTCTCGGATTTCCTGTCAAGGTAAATTCTGCTCTTGAAACATTGTGTGTTTGCTCGGTGTGACATCCTGCTGACGTGCTAGCAAGGCTCTCCTGTTTTGTTCTTTGTTTCAGGCCTTGGTTTTATTGTGTATACAGTTGACTCTTTGAACCATGGGGGAGGTTGGGGCGCCTGCCCCCACACGCACAGTGGGAAATCAGTGTGTAACTTCCAATCCCTACACAGCTTAACTACTAACAACCTACTGTTGACCAGAAACCCTACCAATAACACAAACAGTGGATTAACATACATTTTGTGTGTTATACATATTATATACCATATTTTTACAATACAGTAAGCCAGAGAAAAGAAGATGTTATTATGAAAATCCTAAGGGAGAGAAAACATATCTACAGTGCTGTACTATATTTATATACAACAATCTCCGTATAAGTGGGCCCGCACACTTCAAACCTGTCTTGTTCAAGGTTCAGGTACATTCTTCTAAGCCCAGTAAACAAAATACTCTGGGAAACAATGAAACACACTGAGCAAGCTTTTTGTAAAAAAGTGACAGAACTTTGATACCTTGGAAACCGTTTTCATGTTACTTTATGTGAGTAGATTTTCTTGGATTTAAAGATTTCTAAGATTGTTGCATATAATGTTTACTTAAAATTTTTTATTTAAAAGAATATAGGGGCCCCTCAGTCGGTAGGATATCCGACTCCTGATTTCAGCTCAGGTCATGATCTCAGGGTTGTGAGATCAAGCACCACGTCAGGCTCCACACTAGGCACGGAGCCTGCTAAGGGTCCCTGTCTCTCCCTCCCTGCCCTAAAAAAAAAAAAAAAAAAGTAGATTCTCTCCCTCTGCCCCCCCAAAAAATAAAAATAAAAGAACGTATATATGTGATTATTTTCTCCCCTATGTCCATGAACAAAATATTTTTCTAGATCAGGGAAACTACTCTCATTGGCCAAATCTAGCCCCCACCCCTATTTTTGTAAATAAAGTTTTATTGCAACACAGGCACTGGTGAAAATAATGACAATGTTTGTTCTTAGCCAATTACAAAATAATAGGGAAGTAAGCAAAAAAAAAAAAAAAAAAGAAAGAAAGAAAAGAAAAAAGTATTTAGTAATCCTATATAAAAGAAGGTAAAGTTTAAAAATAATATGGATATAAAATATTATCAATATTACCAGAATAAAATGTAGCATTTATGGTTCAAACTAACTGTACAACTAGTATGGAAAATCTATTCGACAAACCATTTATTTAAGAAAAGAAATTTGGGGGCGCCTGGGTGGCTCAGTGTGTTAGGCCTCTGCCTTCGGCTCAGGTCATGATCTCAGGGTCCTGGGATCGAGCCCCGCATGGGACTCTCTGCTCAGCAGGGAGCCTGCTTCTTCCTCTCTCTCTGCCTGCCTCTCTGCCCACTTGCGATCTCTATCTATCAAATAAATAAATAAAATCTTAAAAAAGAAAATAGATTTAATACTTGGTTGACCAGAAGTTCCACTTGAGCCACCAGCGTGAGGAAGCTGCTAACTGAAAATAAGTTATTTGAATTGCCTTATGGTGAACGTGACTGTGTGTGCCCATGTGTGTATCTATATTACATATCAGAATGATTAGGAAATGCTTTCTGCCTTGTTGTTTGTTTTTTTTTCCCCTAAGTCTACTTTGACGTATATACTCAACCAGGACCTCTAGGAAAAGAGTGTATGAGATGTCTTTTAAAACTAAGTACAGCATTTCACATATACGCATCTCTTGTCTACCATGACCTCTAGGCAGGGACCATGTCTTACACAATAACAATTTCTGTGCATTGTGTTTAACCAGCGCTTTCAGAATGAACCTGGCCTTACAGATTATTCTTTATTCAACTTAAAGAAATATTTCTATATAACAGAGACTATAGCCGTGGTTTGTTTAAAAGAGTAGCAGGGATGAGAAATAATATTTTTTGGTAAATCTTTGCATTGCTTTCACCAGCCCCTTATTTAAAAGAAGATATGATTTCTACTTATCCTTATTTTCAGTGGCATATCAATAGATGGAATTGTTCATTTACATCAGTGGATATTCGCCACCATATATTTTTTTTTGAGTAGGCTCCGTGCCCAGCATGGAGCCCAATGTGGGGCTTGAACTCCCCACCCTGAGATTAAGACCTGAGCTAAAATCAAGAGTTGGAGACTTAACCGACTGAGCCACCGGGCATCTTGCCACCATCTTCCTTAAATGAAGGATGACAGTGTCCGCTATTGTCACAAAAAACACTGGTCCATACAGAGATGATCCATTTCTATAGAACTGGAATAAAATATAATTCACATACTGTCATGTCAGGAAATAACATAATTTTTGTATTTGAGTATAGTTGACACGCAGTGTTACCTAAGTTGCAGGTGTATAGCATAGTGATTCCACTATAATTTAATATTTATTTAGAAAGCTCATCAGAACTTTGACATTGCCCCAGGCAATCAAGCATCATTATATAAACAAAGATTAAAGGTGCAATTTAATAGGAAGTTTTGCTTGCCAGAACTTCCTATTAAATTGATAACTGATAACAGATGTATTGTTCCTATGTAAAATACTTATTTTCTCTTCCTATCACCTTGTCTTAATCGTTGGAGAATAAAACCCTTTGAAAACAGATTACTTCGTTTAGTACACAGAAAGGAATATGATCGCCACAAATATATCAGACGGAGAAGCAAAAGATGTCCTGTGGTGAAGCAAGCACCTACTTATCTGAATGGCGTTTACTTTTCCTGAAATCCAACATGACACTAAATGGGGATAATGACATTCTTATGGAATCTGTAGGTGGATGTGATGATATTGCAAATTTGCTTTGTGGTATTTCGGCTTTAATAACTGTCAATCGTTCTGAGACTTCCTAACTGAGACTGGAGAATCTCATTAGTCTAGCGGATCCAGTTTTGATTAAATGTAGAGGTATGCCTGCTGAGTGTTCGCCTAATAGCATCAGTAGCTTCCCAGGGGGATGATAAAGATGTAAGGTCCTGCCTCCCACAACAAAAGACTCCACAAGTTTGGACATACGAGCAAAAGGAAAGGAGCGTCATGATCCACAACTGGTGTCCTGTTGCTCTGAGCTAAATCGTACATCGCTCAAAATTCATAGGCTGAAGCTCTCACCCCCACTGTAAGTGCACTTGGAGATGGGGCTTGTGGGAGGGAATCCGCGTGGAGTGAGCTCATGGGCTGGAGCCCTGATCCGACAGCATTAGTGTCCTTGTGACAAGAGTCATCAGAGAGCAGGTGCGTGCTCTCTCTGTGTGTGCTATGTGAGGACACAGCGAGAAGGCAGCTCTCGGCAAGGCAGGAGGCAGGAGGAGACCTCCATGGAAACTAAATTGGCCGGCGCCTTGACCTTGGACTTCCCAGACTCCAGAACTGTGAGAAAATAAACTCCTGTTGTTAAGCTGCCCAGTCGGTGGTATTTTGTGACGGCAGTGGAGGCTGGCGAGGATACCTGCATTTGTAGGATGTGTTTCCATGGTGTCCATGGTAGCCAAGCTGGACGAATTACGTTGGGAAATTTTGGGTGCTTGTTCTTGCTATGAAATGCTCTAGTGTTAGTGGAAGGAAACAGAGTTTAGGTGCACATATCCTGTGGTTCCAAAAACTCTCTCATCCTTCTTGCCTTTGTGTCCATTTACTCATAGTATTTACTTGATATTCAAGATTCACTTGGGCATTCCCTCCTTTGGAAAATCTTTCATAGATTCCTAAATTGCTTGGTGTCTCTCCTCGATGCTTCAGAAAATGCTTGAGCAAGACAGTTGTTGTACACTCCCTGGAAATAGCCCTTTAATGGCCAACCTCAACCACTGGACCAGAGGTGAGCAGACCACAGCCCATGGGCAAGATCTGGCCTGTCACCTACTTTCATATGGCCTGAGAGCTAAAAATGTCTCATGCGTCTTTAAATTGTTATATTTTAAATGGTTAGCGACATACTGCATAATGTCCTCAGTGTTGTCTCCTGGCATGCAAAAGGCTGAAATGTTGACTCTCTCACCCCTTCCAGAACATATTTGCTGCCCACAGGAGACCATAGGCTGCTTGCATGAGGGGCAGGTCCTACTGCATGCCTGGACTCTAGCAGAACGCCTGCCACCCTTCGTGCTTCTCGAGCCTGCTCAGTGACACTGAGCGGATGGCTCTCATGCTCTTCTGTGTCAATGACTTTCCCTAATGTCGGTCTGGCTCGTGAAATTTTTCAGGTGACTTTGTAAATGACAACTCTCAGCAGTTGATTCTGCGGAAGATAAAATCCCACGTCCGTGGCCTGTAATAGCAAAATTTTCTCTCTTGTACTCATTTCTGTGATTTGGAAGTAGTACAGCAAAGCTCAGCCCAGCTCTGATATGGGAGTCTTTTCCATGATGGTCCCAGGAAGAACTGCGAGGTGGGACGTGCCCTTTCTGTGTCGGCGGGAGAGGAGAAATGGCCGGAATGCCTGTTACAACATCTCCCGAGCTGTGGCTCTTGTCACTTGCTTATATTCCATTGCCTAAAGGCAATCTGTTGGCCAAGGCCACCATGAATAAGATGGGAAAATGTTTTACTCCTCAGAGAAACTATACAACACACAACCAACTTCTGGCTCCGTTCATCTGTCACTATGTAGCAAACACCACAAAACTTCATGATATAAAACAATGTGTTATTTCTCCTGGTTCTGTGGGTTAACTGGGCTCAGGTGAGCAATTCTTGCTTGGGGTCTTCCAAAAGTTACAGCCAGATAGAAGAAGACACTCGTGTTAGCTGGGCTGGATGTGTATGATGGCTTCTTCGCTCATGTGCCTTGGTGTTCCTCCAGCAGCACAGTCTGGAACTCTTCCCTGGCAGCTCCCAGTTCTTGGGGCAAGAAGGGAAACTTGCAGTCCTAGAAGCTGGGCCTGGAACTGGGCCATCATCACTGCCCTTGTGTTTTCTTGGTCAAACAGTTGCAGACCAATCCAGGTCTACCCCCTGGAAGAAGCAAT